GATAAACTGCAATCGCTGGGTTGATTCCAGTGTGGATTTCTTTTCATTTACCTGTAGACTTAGTTGGTGAAACAGGTCTATTGTGGTTTTCAGCATGCCCGCAGTTTCTTGTTGGTTGGCATCCTTGAGAAGGCAATCATCCAAATAGGGGAAGATTATGATTCCATTGTGTCATAAATGTGCTGCTGCTACCGCGAGTGTTTTTGAGAATATGCAGGGAGCAGTGGACAGTCTGAAGGGAAGGACCCTGTATTGGTAGTGATTGGGTCCTACTGTGAACCTTGGGAACCGTCTGTGGGCAGGATGTAGTATAATATGGAAGTATGCGTCTTGGAGGTCGAGGGCTGCAAACCAGTCCTCCGCATCTAGCGCTGGGATTATTGTGGCCAGAGTGACCATTTTGAACCTGTGGTTGTGTACGAACCTGTTGAGTTTTCGGAGATCTAAGATTGGTCTCCATCCCCCTCCTTTCGTCTCTGTCAGGAAATATTTGGAATAAAAACCCCTCCCTTGGTATTGATGTGGTACTGGGTCTACAGCACCCAGCAGTAGGAGGTGGTCTACTTCCTGTTACAGAAGGTGCTTGTGAGAGGGGTCCCTGAAGAGGGACAGGGAAGGGGGGAGAGTAGGGGGAATGGCTGTGAAAGGAATGGTGTAGCCAGATTGTATGATCTCCAAAACCCATTGATCTGTGGTTATCGCAGCCCAGACATGGTAAAATGGGCGTAAGTGGTGACCAAAATTGTGGGATGGGGTATCTGTTGGCACTAGAGGTGTGGGGCGGTCATGCATACCCTCGACCAAGACTTCAAAATTGTGGCTTAAATGTAGATGGACAGGGGACGAGGCCTGGTTCTGTGGAGCTCGTCGTCTCTGAGCCCGTTGTTTGGGTCTGTTCTGAGTGAAGTATCGGGGTTGTTGATGGTTAAACGAGGTGTCTGGTGACCCCTGGTATGGTGTAAAGCGAGGGCATTTGTCAGGCGGTGGATGTATGCCTAGTGTATGCAGCGTTGCTCGGGAGGCCTTCATGGTATGGAGGACGTTGTCTGTTTGCGAACTAAGGAAACTATGTAACTATGTATAGACTAACTAAACAATGTAACTAAGTATAGACTAAAAAGAAGTTCCTATGTAACTTGTAACTTTTTTTTTCAGAAAGCATCAAAGAGCACTGCCGCGGAGCTCCGTCTGCAGCCGAGGATGGATGAGAAGGAACTATGGGGACGGACGGCGGAGCGCGCGCTACAGCAGGTGCCAACGGCTGCTCGAGAGGACTCCTGTGCGCGCCCTTCCCTGGGCCGAGTACTGCTGCGAGAAATCTCTGATCTCCGGCACAGGGATGCACCGACACCTAGAGTGGAGCATCCACAGGGACACCACTTGATGTAGAAGTACTTCTTCACACAATGCACAGTCAACCTGTGGAACTCATGGCCAGGGGGTGTTGTGAAGATCAAAACTATAATGGGATTCAAAAAATAACTAGATAAGTTCATGGACAATAGGTCTATCAATGGCTATTAGCAACGATGGTCAGGGATGCAACCCCACGCTCTGAGTGTCCCTAGACTGTTTGCCAGAACCTGGGAGTGGATAGCAGGCAATGGATCACTTGATGATTGCCCTCTAAAACATCTGGAATTGGCCACTGTTGGAAGACCGGATACTGGACTAGATGGACAATTGGTCTGACCCAGTATGGCTGTTCTTCTGGATAACCCTGGAGGCCCAGAGGGAAAAGGCTCAGCAGTCGCTTGTAGCTGTGGTGGTTTGGGAATGAGAGCCACTAATGGGACTGGTGATCTCACTCGGGAGCAGGTCGAAGAGAAGACCTCAAAAACTGAGGGTTGTCATAAGGAGGACACTGGGCAAAAGGATATGGCATTGGTGGTCAGTAGGCACCAGCTCAAGACCCCTTGTCCCGACTGCAGGAATGATGCCAATCTCAGTACTCAGGCATCAGAGATCATAGATCACCATATTGGGTGATGACAGAGGGGAGGATGACCCTAACCAGGATCTCGAGGGGGTCTCAGAGATTCTCCGGTGACAACAGGGAAGTCAGTCCCAATAGGGTGAACAAATGATCTGACCAATCTGAAGCACAACACGTGGCGTGATATCAGTGGTGAAAAAGGATAGGGAATCAGCACCAGCGGTACTGAGGAAGTCAGGCTCCCACACAGTACCAGAGAAGGCACCTGCACAGAGGCTAAGGATGGTACCGAGTTTGACAACAAGATCTGCTGCCAGGGCAATGACAGTGCAGAGGGGCACATCCACATCAAGGGGGCCTTCAGTGCTGGGCACAACATCAGCCTCAATTCCACAGCCTGAGATGTGGACAGTGCGAACTGCAGTGCAAAGAAACTCGGCAGCTCCGCAACACAGCCAGAAGGTGCCAAGAGAACAACGGAAGATGAAGCAGTAGACACCATGGTACCGGAAGACTCCCGAACTAGTGGAGAGTCAGACAGAGGCAAATCAGGTCTGAAGGCACCTGATATGCCAACAGCATGGAGACAGTCGGCACTGGTGCTTGCATCATCAGTACCAGATTCAACGGATGCCCCATGACTAGACCCGGAGTCAACAGTATGAGCTCTTGCTGATCTCGGCGCACTACTAGGGAGTGATTGGATGGACCTGCTCCATCCCATGTGCTGAAAGGAGTATAGTGCCGGTCAGCACTCCTCTTGAAAGGTGATGAAGAGTTTCCCCAAGCCATGGCTCTAGGGTTGCTAACTTTCCAGGACTGGCCTGGAGTCTCCAGGAATTAAAGATTATGTCATGTGATGAAATCTCCAGGAATACATTCAACCAAAATTGGCAACCCTACAGGACATGGTCCCCTTTAGTCTTATGGGACCTCTTTCTTGCCTCACAGCCTGCTCCAGAAGGTGCTGCAGCTGTAAGTCTCTCATCACCCAAGTTCTCTTGTTGAATGACTTACAGATGGAGCACTATTCCTTTATGTGTCCCTCACAGAGACACAGCAAGCACCTCATGTGAGGATCGCTATTGGGGATAGCCCCTCCACGCAACAGACAATGCTTGAACCCTGATGTGGGCATCAGACAGGGCAGACAACTACTCAAACTAACACCAAACTAAACCTAAAGTACCACTAACTATTATATAGAATAAAACAAGAAAAACCTCAGAAAACCAAGACTGAAAATGCGAGGTGAACACACCTCACTGAGCTCTGACTCTAGCTGCAGGAGGTGAGAAAGAACTTGAGGGGGATTGGGGCAACGCCACCCTTACAAAGCCAGAGGGGGGCTAGGACAGCAGGGTATGAGTGCCACTCAGTGGGTACTTCTGGACAAAGTTCTACGGCTTTGGTACACTGGACACATGCCTGCATGAAATACATGGCTGCATCTACTCAAAGAAGAACAGTTCTTAACTCATTAGCTGGGCAAACATGGATTTGTTTAAATCACAGCCTAAGAGCTGAGGGAAATTCTCGTCTTGTTCTAAGAGAAACCATGGAGACAGTATCACTGAGATACAACTTGGGCGTCCCACAAATGTTCTATTTGTGTCATTGTGACACTCTGTACCCTGGAACCCCCATATTCACCACTGTGATATGACTATGATAGGTTTTAGTACAAAGTATGTCTTGTGAGATATCGTTTAAAAAGTCTTGATTTGCTGAGCATTAATATCCTATTGGATTATGTGCACTAGCATTTTATGTACAGTTATGAAGTATTGCTATATATGTTAATGAAATATCTTGTGAGGTTGAGGCAACTATCACTGGCCAGACAGGCACTGATGGCCCATCAAGAAGAATCTGCTATCCCAGAGACTCCATGGAGAGGGCATGTATGCAGTGAGGATTGCCTAACTCTCACGTCACAAGGATCTTTCTAGTTGCTGGAAGGAAGTATAAAAGAGGGACAGTGACATCATCACTTGGGCTCTCTCCTCCCCCATCTCCACACCTGGAAGATAAAGACTCTGAATTGGGGAGATGGGTCCTAGACTGAAAAGGAATACAGCCTGTGTATTAAGGACTATGAGATGCCTGTCACATCTATTAGCGTGAGCAAAGCTGTTTGATTCAAATCTTGCTTAGTCTGCTAAAGTTAGAATTTAGACTGAAATTTTATTTTAATTTCTTGTGTAATCAATTTTTCTCTCTATGCCTGCTACTTAAAATCTAGCTTTCTGTAGTTAATAAATCTGTTTTATATTTTACCTAAAACAGTGTGGGGTTGGTTGAAGTGCTTGGGGAATCTCAGCTCAGATTAACAAGGGCTGTTGCACATCCACAACCCTTTGTTGGAATGGCGAACTAATTAATGAGTTTATATTGTCTAAGGGAGTCTTGAGCAGTATGAGATGGTATACGTCTGGGGGGGCAAGCAGGGCCGGCTCCAGGCACCAGCTTAACAAGCAGGTGCTTGGGGCGGCCAAAGGAGAGGGGCGGCACCTGCGGCAATTCGGGGGCAGCAGGTCCCTCACTCCCTCTAGGAGCGAAGGACCTGCCGCTAAACTGCCGCCGCCAATCGCGGCTTTTTTTTTTTTTTTTTTTGCTTGGGGCGGCAGACATGCTGGAGCTGGCCCTGGGGGCAAGACTGGGGTGATTAGCTGGTGCTTCTCTCGTTATGATTCATGAGTGGCTGAGAGAGCATTCCTACAATTTAGCTGGGTGTGAATCTCCACATGCTGATGGCTGAGTGATCACAGCCCCTGGAAAGGTTTGCTGTTTGTCACTGGCATTGCACTGAAAGAGACAGACCAGGCTGGAGAGTTTAAGGGATACAGCAGTCCCACATTTCTGGTTGTACCCCGGGGATCCCATCACAAGTACTGAATGGATTTTGCAGGCACACATCTGGCTGAAAAATCTGACACCAATTTATCATTATTTACTACTATTTTAGTTTTGTTTAAATCAAAAAGGTATTTAAAACAAATATACAGTCAAAATGGATTGTATATCAAATTATGCCCCATTAGGGCAGCTGTACTGTACTTACTGAGGCAGCAATGAATCTCTAATGAGACACAGAAGCTTGTTGTTTGAGTCAAGGCTCTCCTCTTTCTCCTCAGCCATGACCTCGTGGCTCACAAGCAGTGATGTGGTTTCTGAAAGCAACCGCAAGCTGAAGAGTCTCCATTCCACTTGAAAATAAATGTGCCAAGAACGTGACCACACTGAAGTCTAATTAAAACAAAATGTGGAATTCATGGAAATTTTAGTTGATGTGGCCATGTACTTACCATTCTGACTACGGACCAAAGAAACTAAGGGTGGGACGATATAGTCCACAACCTAAAACAGAGCATTAAAAAGATCTGGTTTAGATCATTCAGAAAGAAAAAATAGAACTCAGATATATATACATAATCTGTTTATTCCATTGCTAGACTCTTTAATCAAAGGGATGAACAATCATGGAAATCCATCCATCATCACACTTATTAGGCCACCAAGTTCACTTTGCTCTAGTAAATCACTATAAAGTCATAGATGATAACATCTGTATATCAAAAACAGCAGTATCAATGTTGGCACAAATTACTGAGAATTCTTTTTAGTTTAAAAAGCAGAATTTGGTGCTGATGTTGGTAATTTTATTTTAGCTTCTTTAATATCTAAGTGTATTAATCCCCATGCTCCAGTCCATAAACTAATCAGATGGGATTAGGAAGAAATTTCCTCCAATGATAGTTAAGGTACATTGTGGAAGTTTCACACACTCCACACTGACGCATTCATCATCAATTTCAGAGAGAGGATATTTCAACTAGATAAACCATTGGTTCTTTCCAGTACAGTCATCCATAGGTTCCTGTTAAGATTCAGATTTAGAGACTGAAGTCTTGAATTTTGAAAAAAATATACTCCAATAAAATGTTTCTATATTCCCAAGAGTCACTGAGCAATATATTCCAGTCTGATATATCAAGTCCCCTCTTTAGTGGAATGACAGCTTATTTTCAACCTCAATTTTATGCAAATTCAGCCTTCTAACAAGCACACACACAAAAAAAGTTATTGGGAATGGAAAACAACAGGAGCAGAGATGAAAATCATCAGAAGCAATACAATACAGTAAACTGATTTTGAGCATCCAGGGCAGGTCACAGATCCTAAAACTGAGAAGTTAATATTACTAGTTAATCATCATTTCAGTAAACTACACAAATCAAATAATGAAGAACTTTCAGGATAACACCACCACAAAAAATATCTAGTGGAAACAAACGATTTGACCATGCTACCACAAGATGGGCTTCTCGATTGCTCTGAACAGAATGTATGATATGATGTTTTAAAATATATATATATATATTTGTGGCTAGCTTCTTAGTTAGTATAAATCAGTTTAGTTCCACTGAATTTATTTGAATGTTACAAAAATGACACATTACAATGGTTAACAATTTTTTGTTTGGAGAAGAATCATTTAATTTCATAAAGTAATCAATCAAGTCTTCTTAATGTATAAGGTGCATTTTTCAATACTTCATCATTATGAAATCTTTCATAGCCCTTATCATACATATATAATAGACAAGTTTCAGAGTAACAGCCGTGTTAGTCTGTATCCGCAAAAAGAAGAACAGGAGTACTTGTGGCACCTTAGAGACTAACAAATTTATTAGAGCATAAGCTTTCGTGGACTACAGCCCACTTCTTCGGATGCATAGAATAAGTAATAAATGACTTAGCACTCCAATAGCTCTTTTCAATGGAGGACTTTAAATTGCTTTACAAATGCTAACTAAGCAAGTCTCAAAACAGACCTGTGAGATGGGTAAGAATGTATGGGATTACTTCTTCTGCCACTTAACACAGCTGCTTTTAGGTGAAAGAATATATCTCATTTGGTCAATTCAGATCCTAGTTTAGGAATGCTCCTGGATTCCTTGCTGATGCTACTTCTCACATAGAAAGCATTACTCACAGATGCCGCTATCATCTCTGGCTGGCTAGGAAACACCATCATATTATGGCAGACAATGACCTGGTCTCAGTTGTATACATGTTTTCACCACCTCCTGTCTGGACTACACCCATGCAATACACATCAGCCATTAGGAAACTCCATCTACTATAGAATGTTATGTGTCTCCTCAGCAACACAGGCTACCGTGAGTGTACCAAACCTGTCTCCTCTACTCTGTAGCCTGGCTTCCCATAGAATATTCAATCAAATTCAATGTCTTGGTCCTTATCTTCATGGTGCTCTATTGCCTGGGCGCAGCGTATCTAAAAAAAAAAGCCTAAGGATCTAGGATGAAGCTCACGGTTGACAACTTTCCCCCTCAGTCACAACAGAACTTTCAACTATAAGTGTAAAGTTCATCTGTGCCAGAGACAGAGCTTTCTTGGGGGCCAGTTCAAGAGCGTGGAATGAACTCCGCCAGGAATTACGCACTATCACAAACCTCACCACCTTCCCACCATCACCAACAAAAAATACCGACCAAAGGAAAACACTACACTGCATGCACAAATCCCCGATAGGGCGAGAATGAGAGGAAGAACAAATCATATATGACAGATAATGAACACACCTTGTAATATGCTACTGGTGCCCAGATACTACAATAATGAAGACATTATAAGAACTTATATGCAATAGACAAGACTGGATTCCTACACCTCAGGCAGGAGAAAAGGTTAGTCAGTCTTCCATCATATAGTAGAGAGGGGAAAGCCCACGGTTAATATTGTGGAACATGAAGGGGACAGACAGCTTTGCTTCCTAAGCGCTCATCTACTCTTTTCCACATATGTATGAGGAAAGGGAGTCTATGCACATGTAGTGGGGAAGGGTGCAGAAATAGAGGTGTGCTGCCACAATGGCATGCTCCTTTCCCCCCTATGCGGGGGCTTCTTGGTGTTCCAGTTCCAAAGCTTTGCAGGGAACAAAACTGATGCATTATCCCCTCTTCCTCCTTTACAAAACTTGCAGACAGAACATGTAGTAAGATATACTGCTTCCTTCCTATGCTGTGCAAGCCTCTGAAAGAGTCAAGGGATGGACAGGTACTTGGGCAGCTGAGGTCAGGACTGCTCCTGACAGAGTGACCCCTGCAGAAGCCAGAGGGTCAGTGGTAGCTTGATAGCAGGGTCTCTGGTGGCTCATTGTGAGGTTTAGGGAGAGGCAGGATCCCTGGCCTATTCTGTGGACATATAGGGAAACAACTCCCTGATATGCAAGAATCAAATAGAAATTAAGCAATTTCAGGGAGTATCTATTCCCGTGTAGATTAGTCCCATATAAGAAGTACTAGGCCAATAGGTAGGTAAGAAGATTTTTCTTTTTGTTTAAAAGGAATGTTCTTTTTTGATATACTCTGTATACAAAGCTACAGAATTACACCTAAAAAATGCAGTGTTCAAAAAATATTAGTTGACTTAGCTCTGTTGTTTAGCAACATTATGGGTACGTCTACACTTCAAACCAGGATTCCCAGCTTGAAGAGACATACTCATGCTAGCTTTCACTGAGCTACTATACTAAAAATAGAATGTAGCTGCAGCACTGCGAGCGGGCTAGCTGTCCTTAGTACGTGCCCGGGGGTTGGACAGGTACATAACTCAGGGCAGCTAACTCCTCCTGCAGTTTGTGCTGCTCTGGCTGCATTCTATTTTTAGCATGCTAGCTCAATGTCTCCTCAATTTGGCAATCCCACCCTCAGTTCGAAGTGGAGACATACCCTATTGTTAACAACATTCAAACTGCCTAAGCATCACAAACTGTCTTAAAATAAAAAGCTCTATTTACAGAGACAGAATAATGACAAACTGATCACTCCACATAGAAATTGTTCTGTACTGGCCTTCATTTGATGAATTCCAAGTAATTCCCCATTTATTCTAACCCTACTAACAATACATGTTCCTTCACTTTTAGAAATAAATCTCTTCAATGAACAACTTGAATTTGATCATACTGTATTGTCACATGTCCACAGCAACTGAATATGGTGCTTGAAAGTCAACCTACTATTGCCGGTCAGTCCAAAGCGTTCATAACATCATTATTTTTAAACTTTATTAACTTATTTTAAAATGAAGATAAACATTGTGTTTTCTTCATTTTCTATTAGAAACTAAAACAATTTTAATGTTGCTATTATGGAGCAAATGTTATGCACCACTCAAGAAGGCTTTAGCTTATTTTTTTATTCATGACACACTGATGGTAGGCAACTTTGTCTAAAGGAACTATCCTAACCTCTGGGACCTATCGAAGATACACATTTCTGGCAAGTAAAAGGATATCCTATTAACCACTTTTATATTTAAAGTATTGATCTGGAACTGTGAACATGTCTTGCTTCAACTTTTCAAAAAAGCATTAAGTTCCTTTGGGTGCTGGCATTTATATTCATAGATTCCAGTCATGTCCAACCTGCAGCAATTAAAAGGTATCCCTTGAGTAACAGTATTTCTAAAAATATTTTGTATGCATCATGTAAGATGAGGTAGCACTTTCCTCTACAGTAATGGTAAGCTGTACTTTCCAAAATAATTAGCACACTAGACCCCGCAAGTGGTAAACTAATTACAGAGGGTCCTGTAGCACCTTTAAGACTAACAGAAGTATTGGGAGCATAAGCTTTCGTGGGTAAGAACCTCACTTCTTCAGATGCAAGCTAATTACAGTTCACACTATTAGCAGCAGACATGGTTATGACAATCAGTTATGATGGACTAAAACAGATCTCTTCAACCTAGCATACTAAATTCAGGGCACTTTCCTCACTATATATGGGGTCTCAATGGCCATTTGTTGGACACTAGTATTGGTCTGGAGAAAGAGAAAACTTATTGATGGAAATGAAGCAGGCAAGTGACAGATTATTTTCTCAAAACTAATTGTTCATAAGCAATGGAAGTAGTTATTTTCAGTTAATAAATATTTTTTTAAAAAGACATCCATTTGAAAACTGGAAAAGGATTCTGTCTATATACAAAAGTGCCATACTTCATAAATTTTAACAAGCATTTGGGTGGACATGAAAATTAGTTCTGGTTATTGACAGTGATTGTTTGGATAAAGTAAACACTACCACAAAACTTTGCAAAATATCTGAATAAAAATTGAATATCTTTTAAAGTGAAAAAAGTTTGGTTAAATTAAAAATAAAATAAAAACCCACATGACTTTGCCCTTTCTTAGGCTGGGACTAAAATGGATTCTTGCAGCATTTTTGATCTACGCAGAGCTAGGAAACAAATGAAGAGTTTGTCTACATGTCAAGTTACTTGCACAGCAAACCAGGGCGTGAATCTACAGCAAACCAGCTTGCAATTTGGTGGACATTGCTACAGCACAGTGAAAATACAGCTTAGTGATAATTTGGAAGTAAAGTGGGATAGTCACTCCTCACTTTTTGTCACAATATGTTGCGAGTATGTATATTAAAAAGGCACCTGCCTTCTTGCTGCAATTTATTTCAGAAAAAAACAGGCCTTATAATTAATATAATGCACTGAAAGAAGGTACTGAAATTTCAGTTAATATTTTTGAAAGAAACATGCATCACTTTTATGGAGGTCACACTAAAGACACACTAAAAACCACAGAACCATTATCTTAAGAAACAGCAGTTGTTCTTGGAATGGTGTCTAACAATGAATTTACATGCTGTTAAGCGTCTGAGATAACATTCACTTGAATTCACTCCAGATCGCTACTTAACTTCTGCTTCAAGAACTGCTTCTGCAATTCTGCTTGCAGTGAATTGAGTTGACTTAAAAATAAATTTTATATCCCTGTTCCACTTCCCTTAACCTCTATCTACTTATCTATCTGATTCTGAGCTCCTAGTAGGGAGGACCAGACTTTCTTGACTGTTTGGCAAACACCCAGTATATTGCTTACTGTACACTATTCAAAAACCAACAATAACAACAGGCATTTTAATTCCAGCTCATCTTTCTTGTATGTGTTAGTTTTAGTATTTTTAGTCCTTACAACTTCACAACTTAACAGTCAGCTGAAAAACACACACACCAAAAGGGGATTGGAGAACTGAGACAGAGTTTTTCTTCTCTAGGCCACGTGTTCATATCAGTCCAGCTCAGTTTGTTAATGACCAAAGGCTGTTTCAATTTGATGGCTGTTGAGTTCAGTCCAATTTCCAGTAAACAAGTGTCCATATAATAATAAAAATCAATACCATAACCAGCATTAATTGGTACTCTTGGTAGCAGTCTCTTCAGAAAGAACAAGGACTGAATGGGCTCGAAGGCAGAAATACCCTTTTACTCTTAGAGGTGAATCTCTTCAGGTCATGGTTAAGGCATACTGGCAGAATGAAGTAGGGAAACTTCCACAGATGTTCAGTGCTGTTCTTGTTCTGTGGCTAAAGTGGTCAATCCATTTTTTTCTAATACAAAATCATTTTAGAAACAGATTTCCAGAGCTAATTCTGGACAAAATATCTGACTCTTTTTGCACCTTTTCAACTGATTGGACATAATAAATTGAACCTGAACATTTCTGTTCACCTTTTAAATTTAGATCTTTCTATAAATGAACAAATCTTTTTCAATCAAAAAATAATTAAAACTTTTTTCTATTTTCTGATCATACATATTTTAAGTCTTGACCCTAATAACTACTGACTACTTGAAACATTCCGTTTGTTAGTGGGAATTCAGACAGTATGTATGCAATTGTTTCATGTGCTACCAGGACTTACTGTTGAGCGGTGGAGCGTCAACAAGACTGGATGCTGTGTTACCACATCGAATGCTGATAAAGTGGTCTTAATTAGTTCTTCTGATGCAGTTTGACCTGTTCATAAAAGAAGCATTGTTTTTCCTTATAACATGCTACAGTAAGAATCATAGATGCCAGAACTAGGGGTACTGGGGGTGCTGCCACACCCCGTGGCTTGAAGTGGTTTCCATCATATACAGGGTTTACATTTGGTTCAATGGCTCTCAGCACCCCCACTATACACATTGTTCCAGCACAACTGGTAAGAATACATTCATATAAAGATATGGGAATGCCATAGATGAACTTACCTATTGCTCCATCTAAGTTAGTTTCTCCCAAATCTATTGATTTGATAAAATTCTGTAGAAAAAAAAAATACACATTCAAAATGAGTTTAAAAACAAAGAGTAACAAATGTTTTTCACACACACACCCCTCAGAGCATCCTCATTAAAACTATGCTATCCTCAACCATATTTAATATTTTTCATATATGAAAGTTGAATGCATTTGTATTCTAGTTTTCATGACATAATTTTGCAGTTTTGTAAAGGTGTTGCATACTCAAAAGTACTGTACAACAAGGCCCATTAACTCGACTAATGTCAAGAAGTTTCCTGATAAATATGAAGCAATTAAATAGTGTACTTTATTAGTAACAGAGCTTGCATTTTCTAAAAAGAGACTTTGAACTTTCTTGGATACTGCTATATTAAAATAGCTCATGAAAAAGACCAAAGACCCTCTGGAAAATGTAATTTTCTGTAATTTGTGCCATCTTTTTGATCTCCACACACAGTGCATATTGTATGGATGCACTTACATGCAGGAGTACATAGAGAAAGGCATACTTTATAACCTAAATAAATCATCATTCTGAGGCACAGTGAATAAAATATTAATGATTTGGGATAAGTAAATATGATACTATTATTCCCACTGTTCTTGGGCTATTTAATTCATTTCCTCTCTTCTGACTTCACTTTTATACATGTATATACACCTTTCATAGGGGATGCAAAAGACATGCTATTGATGCTTACTTGCCACAGAAGGAATAATTCTTAGCAGAATTTAATACACTATTACTTATATTTATGATAGACAAGGTACTGCTTTGGCATCATCTTTCTGACCTTCAAGTTATACACCTCATTTCTATACAGTATTACGGTAAAAGCTATACAATAATTTTCATAGAACTTTCAATTTATGTCCTGAGGATGTCAATGATAAATTGTATTACTATAACATTGTTAGAAGTGCATCCAGAACACACTACCTTTTCCCTAATACCTAAGAAATGCATACAGGAGTTTTCTATCCACAATAACAGCATTATATCTTTGTTTTTAAACTATTACAGAGCAGGTCATAGAAGAATGTTTACTTACCTTAAAGTAACTGTGATCCCTTGAGATACTGTCAAGTGGATCCCACAGTAAATGCACATGTGATTCATACACGTGAGATGGATTTTTTTTTTAAATAAGCAGTGTCCATCAGAAGGAATGACAGTCTGAATGGTTTACTCCTGTCAATGTAGAGTCCTGGCTACATCTAGGGTGCGTAATTTCTTTTCTCCCAGTGCCAAATGAGGTTTCAGGAAGAAGAAATGCAAGTTGATGGATTAGTTCAGATGAAATTCTAAAACCACTTTGGAGGTGAATTTCAGGTAAGGTCTTAGCACCACCTTGTCCCTATGGAATATCATTTGGGGAGGGTAAGCCATAAACACCTGAAGCTCACTCACTCTTCTAGCTGGAGTGAAAGACTAGGAGGTTCTCCTTTCTAGTGAGGTGATGTAGGGAGCATTCTGAAAAAGGTTAAAAGGGAAACTCCATGAGTCTAAGGAGGACTATATTGAGGTCACAGGCAGGAATTGGTTCTCTGACTAGTGGGCATGTAGTAGCCCTTTAAGAAATTTCAGTAGCATAGGATGAGAATATTAGGGATGGGCAGAAAACGGGTTTCCCATCCTGAGAGAATTTCAAATTTTTTCCCATCCCACTTCAACCCAAAAATTTTGATTTGGATCAATCAAATGTTCATTTCGATTTCAACCTTCCCACCCCCTTTTTTTAAGTCCAAATTTCTAAAATTTCAAAACAAAACAAAAAAGTTGTTTTGACTGGAAAAACTGAAGCTTTTCATTTAAAATATGCTGAAATATCCCATTTCAACAATTTCAAAACTTTTTTCCCCGAAATTTGAGTCAGGATATTTGTCAAAACTTGCCTCAGTTCACAGTTTAGGTTTCAACAAATTGACATTTTGGGGGTGAAAAGTATTCATAAAAAAATTCCTGACCAACTAGAGAGAAGAAAGATGGGTGACAAGCTAAAATTGCTGAGAGGCCGACTTTACTAGATTTGAGCAGAAGACCTGCTTGCATAGGGTGTCAAGGATCTTCTGTAATGAGATCTGGAGTTTTTGGGCTGCCCGTTTCAAGAACTTCTTCCATTTTGAAGAATACGTTATCTAGAAGATGTCATTTTGTTTTGAAACAGGATTTCCTGGACCTGTAGGGAGCAGCCATTATCTGTGTTACTGAGCCATCCAACAGCCACACAATGAGTGCAGTGACAATGGTTCTGGGTGGAGTAACTGGCCATGGTTCGGTGAGACAAGTTCCAGGCAGGGTGGGAGTTGGCCTGGAGGCTGGACATCTGCAGTAGATCTGTCAGCCACAGCTGCCTTGGCCAATAAGGAGCCAACAGAATGATTGTGGGACTCACCCTGGGAATCAGGGGAAATTATGCAAAGGCATACAAACAAGCCTCTATTCCACTGAAGGAGGAAGGTATCTGGTAATGAATCTGGACTCAGGCCTTTTCTAGAACAAAAGTTATGACATTCTGCATTACCATTGGGGCAGAAAAATCTTTTGTGGGGAATCTCCACTAATGAAATATCTGTTCTGTAATGCATCTGTGCAAGGGCCATTCATGTCTGGTCACAGACTGCTTGCCTGCTAACTTGTTGCTGAATCCTGGTGTTGTCCTGTTCTGACAACACCAATTTCAGAAGTTGATGACTTACAGGCAGAAGGGCAAAGAGCAGGTGCCCTCTTGCTTGTTATGTAGTGCATGGCTGTTGTGTTGTCTGTGAAAAATCTACAATGAAGGAATTATGGAGGACATGAGGTGGCATAGGGCACATGTGCAGCCTTAACAGACACTGCTATTAAAAAAAAAAAAACCTCAGTCTTGAATGCACAGAGCACATTTGTACCTAGAGTGGGATCCACACTGACACATACTTAAAGAACAATTATTTTGGATGAACATCAAGGTCTAATAAGTTAGTTTTCTATGAAAAAAGGCAATTTATCATTATGTCTGCCTGTTCATTTGAAGAAAGCTACTACCTTTCATCTAATTTCTTTAGAGAGAGCGTTTTGTTTATCTGTGACAAATTAAAATCTGACTATTTTGGGAAATCCATAATCTGTGCTGATTTTGCACTGACTGAATTGTGCCAATTGGTCTGCTCTGAATGGCTCTCCAGGATATCATTAACCATCCTCGTGTTATGTTTAATTGAAGAGGGACAGGAGACAAATCAAGTCCAGTGCCAAAATTCCTACTTTAAAGTCAAAATAGCTCGATGCTTGCCATCCATAATCTCTGCCATTAGGTGGTCAGGTGCAGAAGCTCTAGGCTTATCCTATCTGATGGGAGAGGGGTGTGAAGAGCAAGTTACTCACCCTGTGCAGTAACTGTGGTTCTTCAAGAGGTGTCCCCCCAATGAGTGCTCCACTCTAGGTATGCCTGCACCCCCAGCACCTCAGGTCAGAGATTTTAGGTAGCAGCGTCCATTCAGCCCGCCCATGCGCTCTCTCCATCTCGTGCCCTGCATCAGAGCTATATAGTGCTCAATGGGTGAACTGCTCTCAGTTCCTTCTCTAACTCAGAGCTCACTGGAAAGAACTCCAAAGCAGAGGGGAGGAGGGTAGGTAGTGGAGAACCCATAGCAACACACATCTCGAAGAACCACACAGTTATTGCACTGGGTAAGTAACCTTCCCTTCTTCAAGTAGTGTCTCTATGGGTGTTCCATTCTAGGTCTCTCCAGCAGTACTCCTGTGGGAAGTATGGGGCTTCAGTGTAGAATCTAGAATTGCAGATAAGACATTGGAACCAAATATGGCATTGGACGCTGAGTCATGAGCGACTGCATAATGTTCAGCAAATGTATGAGCAGATGTCCGAGTCACAGCTCTGCGTGTTTCTACAACAGGAACATTTTTGACAAAGGCTATGGAAGTAGAGAGGGATCTCGTGGAGTGATTTCATATTTTAGAAGGATGTTGAAGATTGTGAGACCGATAGCAGTAGGTAATGCAGCTTGATATCCAGCTAGAGTCTCTTTGTTTGGAGACTGAGGATCCCTTAGATCTGTCCACAATGGAGAGAAATAGTCTGGAAGATTTCCTGAAGGTCATAGTCCTATCTAAATAAAAGGCTAGTGTTCTCCTTACACTGACTGTGTGCAATGTTGAATCTCTTTTTTTCTTGGTGCAGTTTCAGAAAAAACTGGGAGGTAGATAAGTTGGTTTATGTGGAAGTATTTATGTCCACTATTTTCAGCAGGAACTTGGGATGTGGTCGTAATGTCACCTTGCCTTTAAAAAAAAAAAGACTGTAAAGAGGGGGTATGCCATTAGAGCCCCCTCTCTCTCCTATTCTTCAGACAGTTTTCATAGAGAGGTGTTGAAGGGAGCAGCGGCCATGGGTTCAAAGGGAGGTCTTGTTAGACACTGAAAGACAAAATTGAGGTCCCATGTCAGTATGGGGCATCCGATTTGTGAAGAGAGATTACCTAGACCTTTGAGAAACCCTCTGGTTGTGGGATGAGCGAAAACAGAATAACCCTCTATCTGATGAGGGAAGGCTGTGACTGTGACAAAGTGCACCTTGACAGAGCTTAGAGATAATCCTGACCTTTTTAGTTCTAGGTTGAAATGCATACAGAAGACCTGTGTCCCAATGTGAAGTATTGCAAGGCTTATTACAAAGGTGCCCACCACCATGTGTCCCAGTAGCTGGAGACAGTCCGAGGGCTGACCCAGACTGTTAAGAAAAAATTGATCAGAGTGCTGAATCTGTGCAAGGAGAGGAATGTTTTGGCTTCTACTGCATTGAAGGAGGCTTCTATGAACTCCAGATGTTGTACTGGAGTTAATACGGACTTTTGAATATTTAATTGTAGTCCCAGTCAGAGAAATAGGTCCATGACTTTTTGTGTGACCATCAAACCCTTGTTGAAGGAGCATGCCTTGAGAAGGTAATCGTCTAAGTATGGAAAGATCAGAATTCCTTGTTTGCGAAGATGTACTGCTACCACAGAAAGGACCT